GGGTTGGAGAGTCCAGGGAACAAAATATAATTTTAGCATATTTAAAATTGTTAAGGGCAGATATTGCTTATCTGCAAGAGACTCATTTAATGGAACAGGATAAATCTCCATTAATGAAAGATTGGATGGGACAGGTTTACCTTACAGATAATTAAATGAAAGTTAAAGTGTGGACATTCTGGTGCAAAAAGGATTCCCAATTGATGTACAACAAGTTATTACTGATGCAAATGGGCATTTAATTTTGTGTGCCAAAATAGCCAAGACTGCAATAGCTATGGTTAATGTTTTTGGATCAAATTTAGATTCTCCTATTATGTTTCATCAATGTTTTCAATACTTGAATGAGTGTATTTATCATAAACTGATAATAGGAGGAGATTTCAACGAAATATTGAATCCTGAGTTTGATAGAAATACACCATCAGGAAAAAAAAAAAATCATTAGTGAGGGAAACAATTAAGACTTATATGGAAGAGTTGAATTTACTAGACCCTTGGCGTTTGATGTATCCAACTAAAAGAGAATATATGTTTTATTGAAATGTACATCACAATATTTTTAGGCTTGATTAATTTTTAATATCATTAACCTTATATCATCAAAATCAAGAATGTAACATTGATGTTTGTTATATATCTGATCATAGTGCAATTACTTTGAAATAGGTGTTTCAGGAACCGGTTATACTATCAAGAAATTGGTATCTTAATGTTTCCCTATTGAATGATAAAGAATTTGTACAACCAATGAAGGTAGAGACTTTACTATATTTTGATTTGAATTCAGAAACATCAAGTGCCTGAATTTTTGAATGGGAAGCATATAGGGCATACATTGGAGGTAGGATTATTGCTTATGTATCGCACAAAAATAAGATTAAAAATACCAAAAGCAGGTAAAGGTCACACTCGGTGTGCTAACTACCATCCAATCTCATTGATCAATGTTGATACAAAGATTCTAACAGCGATGTTAGCAAATAGATTACAAGAAGTGATATCATTTGTTATTTAGAATGATCAAGCAGGGTTTATAAAAACTAGCCAAGCACCAGACGATATTAGGTTAGTTGTAGATTTAATAGATTTGAATAAAAACAAAGATCAATTTGTAATTTTATCATTAAATGCTGAAAAGGCTTTTGACAAAATATACAAGTAGTATATGTTTGTCGTATTAAATAGATTTGGATTTCCTTTGGAATTCACAAAATCGATAAAGATATTTTATGACTCGCCCACATCTAAAGGAAAGGTTAATGGTATTTTGTCCTACTTTTCCACTACTTAGAGGAACTAGACAAAAATGTCCACTTTCACCCTTGCTTTTTAACATCTGTGTTAAAAACTTGGCTTGTGCTATTAGGCAACACAAGGAGATCTACATAACAAAAACATAAATTGGTTTTATTTGCAGATGACATTCTTTTGTTTATTTCTAAACCTCATACTAC